CTCCCAGATAACTAATTCCGTGCGCTTGGCAGATGCTGTGGCAGCCAGGAGTGGGGTGGAGGCGCGGGGGGGGGGGGGGAAGCAAGGGCTGCAGAAAAGCTTTTATGCTCGGCCAGGAAGGCCTCCTCTAGGCTCAAATGCTGCTTTCCCTCTGCTCAGTTTCGGACTTGTTTACGGAACTGCGATAACCAGTGTTCCCTCTAAGCTGTGGAGTCCTGGGAGCAAAAATTCTACTTGGTGAGCTACTGGCATTAAAGCTGTGAGCGAGCGATTTGGCTGCTGCATAAATTAGTTTGCTCTGGAGCCCTCCTTCCTGAGCTAAGACAAAAACGTGTGAGCCAGAGGCTAAAAAACTGCGAGCTAGCTCACACTAACTCAGTTTAGAGGGAACACTGGCGATAACGCCGGCTTAATTCACTCCAGTCTCCGCTGCTTTTTTGTTTTTGGTGCCCCCAAAATTTTGAAGCTCGGAAAAAAAACCCGGGTTTTTTCCATTTTCCCCCCAGAAAAAAATGGACATTTTCAGAAAAATTGAAAAAAATGCTACATTCGCATTTCTTTTTTCTTTTCTAGATTGAAAGTTGTTCTGTTACTTTAGGAACATAAAATATGACTATGGATATTTTTACTTGGCATGAAATGATCACAACTAGCATATTAAAAATATAGTGTATCCAAACAATTATTTCAAACAGAATACCCACCCACATGCAAAAGCAAAACTGATTTTCTTCTGACAATAGCACCTCCTAAAGGAAGAAATGGATCTTGTTCTTGCATTGGAGGGTTCAGTTTGTAACCTAGGACTTGCTTGTCCTCCGTGCACAGAAATTAAATCAATCTGATACCATATAAAGATATATTTTAGAAATGATTTGGAAAATATTTGAACACCTTGTCTTAAAATATTTTATTCATCATGTTAAAATAAAATGTTCCATAATCAATTTTTTTTCTTTTTTTCTTTTTTCAATTTTTCCAATTTTTGGAAAAAAATGAAACTGCTTCAGGAAAAAAATGGGAAAAACCCTGAGTTTTCCCCGAATTTTTCTGGTTTTTTCCCGGGCCTTCACATCTCTAATTGTACCATGTCTACGGATGTTTTTGGAGCACGCTCGGTCTGTGTGTGAGAGCTTTGGAATAACTCCGTGGTGTGATTGGTGTTGGTGTTGGTGTTTACGTCCCGCAGGGTTTCGCAAATGCAGTCTCCTGGTGACCATAAAAAGGCATTGACTCTGGCAACGAGCCAAGAAAGTCTCTGGTCTATTCTGCTATAAGAACGACGTGCTTTTTAAAAGCCGCCGACAACACACAGAGGCACGGTGTGCTTTTCCAAGCTGGTGCAAGGCTGGGCATGGTGTCGGCGTGAAGGGCCTGAGAAGAGGTTTGCTATCAAGCTGTAACCCCCACCCACCCCCTGGAGAGGTGTGGCAAGTCTTCAGTTTTAAGGGGGGGGGATGTCTTCTGGGTCCCCGTGTATTGTCGTCTCTCTTGGTGGAATTGCATGGCTCCGTTCCTCTGAGTGTTCGGCAACAGCCGTGCGCCTCTTCCCTCTGAGTAAGGTTTCTTACAATTCCGCAGGGTCTGTAAAACAGAGCTGTTCCACCGGGCTTGTGGCCGAGGCAGCGGACCTCCAAAATCCATCTTTGGCCTCCCCTACTGAAATTGCTGACTCTGTGATCAGCCTAAACTGAGCATAGCAACGTGAGCCTTGATTGCTGTTTGTGCTACCATTTTAAATGACCGTTTCAATTATTTTAACTCTTGTTGTCAAGATTTTGTGACTTTGGTTAAGACGCTGAACTGCAGGCCGGAAGGTCGGTAGCTCGGCAGTTCGAGGCCCGAGTGTGCCGCATGACAGAGTGAGCTCCCGGCTCCGGCCCCGGCTCCTGCCAACCTAGCAGTTCGAAAGCAAGAAATTGCAAGTAGATAAATAGGTACCACTTTGGTGGGAAGGTCACAGCGTTCCGTGCGCCTCGGCATCCAGTCACGCCGGCCACATGACCACAGAGACGTCTTCGGACAGCGCCGGCTCTTCGGCTTGGAAACGGAGATGAGCACCACCCCCTAGAGTGGGATTCGACTGGCTTTCGAGCAAGGAAAACCTTTGCCTTTACTAACCCGCCCTGAGCCCGTCTGCAGGGACAGCGGGATAAAAGTTGAATTAAATAGCTTATTAAGAATTCCCTGTTTCACCTTCAGTGAAGGACAGCGCTATTTCAGGGCTTGTGAGCTTTTCCCAACCGTCTTGGGAAACGGACGATGCGAAAAGTGGATTGGATCCTGTGGATTTGTTCCGCTAAGGGCGGCACACAAAGATGGGAAGCCGCTTCGTGCCGAATCGGACCGTTGTTCTGTCGAGCCCAGTCTCGTCTGCCCTGACCGGCAGCAGTCCTCCAGGTTCTCCGGTGGAGGTCTCTCACGTCACCTGCAGATCCTTTCTGCTGACAGTGCCAGGGGTTGAACTTGGGGAGCTGCTGCCAGGCTGAGTAGACAATACTAAATTTGATGGACCAAGGGTCTGAGATAGTATAAGGCAGCTTCATGGGGAGGGGTCGTGGCTCAGTGGCAGAGCCTCTGCTTGGCAGGCAGAAGGTCCCAGGTTCAATCCCCGGCATCTCCAGTTAAAAGGACCACCAGGAGGTGTTGGGAAAGACCTCCGCCTGAGACCCTAGAGAGCTGTAAAGAGGGGCCGTGGCTCAGTGGCAGAGCCTCTGCTTGGCAGGCAGAAGGTCCCAGGTTCAATCCCCGGCATCTCCAGTTAAAAGGACCACCAGGAGGTGTTGGGAAAGACCTCCGCCTGAGACCCTAGAGAGCTGTAAAGAGGGGCCGTGGCTCAGTGGCAGAGCCTCTGCTTGGCAGGCAGAAGGTCCCAGGTTCAATCCCCGGCATCTCCAGTTAAAAGGACCACCAGGAGGTGTTGGGAAAGACCTCCGCCTGAGACCCTAGAGAGCTGTAAAGAGGGGCCGTGGCTCAGTGGCAGAGCCTCTGCTTGGCAGGCAGAAGGTCCCAGGTTCAATCCCCGGCATCTCCAGTTAAAAGGACCACCAGGAGGTGTTGGGAAAGACCTCCGCCTGAGACCCTAGAGAGCTGTAAAGAGGGGCCGTGGCTCAGTGGCAGAGCCTCTGCTTGGCAGGCAGAAGGTCCCAGGTTCAATCCCCGGCATCTCCAGTTAAAAGGACCACCAGGAGGTGTTGGGAAAGACCTCCGCCTGAGACCCTAGAGAGCTGTAAAGAGGGGCCGTGGCTCAGTGGCAGAGCCTCTGCTTGGCAGGCAGAAGGTCCCAGGTTCAATCCCCGGCATCTCCAGTTAAAAGGACCACCAGGAGGTGTTGGGAAAGACCTCCGCCTGAGACACTGGAGACCGGCTGCTAGAGTCTGATTCAGTATCAGGCAGCTTCATGTGTGTTCATATTCTGTATGCAAAGATTTTTCTGCCAGTGAACCCCACCCCGAATATAGTTCCTTTTCTTGGTGCGAGGAACATACAATTGAAGCATCAGCAGATGGTTCTTTGCACCAGAGGAAAGCGCTGCCCTTAGCAGAATAGATCCAAGGGCTTCAAGACGCCGAAGTTTTCTGAGTTCTAATCTCTTGTCTCAGCCTTTACTTTGTGTGAAACAACTCTTGGAGAGAATCTGCCAAGGTTCCAGCCCTCTTGGAAGTTTTTTCTTTTCTCCTTGTTCCCACCTGATTTATTAGGTAAAAGTTCAAGGTTTCCCTTGCTCGAAAGCCAGTCGAATCCAACTCTAGGGATGCGGTGCTCATCTCTGTTTCCAAGCCGAAGAGCCAGTGCTGTCCAAAGCCGTTTCCGTGGTCATGTGGCCGGCATGACTAGACGCCGAGGCGCACGGAACGCTGTGACCTTCCCACCGAAGCGGTACCTATTTATCTACTTGCAATTTCTTGCTTTCGAACTGCTAGGTTGGCAGGAGCTGGAACTAGAGACGGGAGCTCACTCCGTCATGCGGCACTCGGGTCTCAAACTGCCGAACTACCGACCTTCCGGCCTGCAGTTCAGCGTCTTAACCACTTGAGCCACCGTAGCTCCTCACCTGATTTATTAGCATGTGTAATTTATTTGTGTGAATTCTTCCATACTGCTGGGCTATTGCCTGCCAGGAATAAGAAAGGACTTCTAAATATATCCGGGGGGGGGGGGGAATACTTGAAAGCTTCCACCGATTCCACAGCGATTGCTATTATCCTTTGGCTTGTTAGCGTGGAGGGGGGAGTTTGACGTACCCTCCCCCCCCCCCCAGGTGAGCGAACAAGTAGCGCCTTATAAAGCTGGATTAGCTGCTACCGGGGCTGCCTCTTAGAGCTCAACGAGCCATTCCCTGGGATTAAGAACACGTCTAGATCTAAATTCAGAACAGCCACCGGGCTGCTAAAAGCTTTCCTTGAAACACAGCCAAATTGGACAAATGGACCATTCGGCATGTAAGGTAACAGCGAAACGGCTTCCTGTTTTGAACCAAGACTTGGGAAATATTTCGGATGCCCAGGTGCCAAGCCCTGTACAGGGCTGACTATGTACTTCAGCAGTGTGGTAACTAGCATTACTGTTTTCAGAAGCTGGGCGCCTGGGAGATAGTTTCAGAGTGTAGTCACGTTGGCATGCAGTACAAGAGGTAAGGTAAAGGTGTTCCTTGCTCGAAAGCCAGTTGTATCCGACTCTAGGGGTGCGGTGCTCATCTCCGTTTCCAAGCCGAAGAGCCAGCGCTGTCCAAAGACGTTTCTGCGGCCATGTGGCCGGCATGACTAGACGCCGAGGCGCACGGAACGCTGTTCCCTTCCCACCGAAGCGGTACCTATTTATCTACTTGCTCCCTAGCTCCCGCCCACCCAGCGGCTCGAAAGCCCTTAACGGCAATTAGACAAATGGGTACCCACTCCTTAAGAGTGGGGGGGCACCCTACCCTACCTCCAATATTGGAGGTCAGCGGCGGCGGCTGGACGATGTGGTGAATCGATGAGCAGCGAGCTGGTAGAAAGAACATGGCGACAGATCGGCGGCAGACAGCAGGTGACTCGGGAGGCGATTGGAGGCGGCGTGGAGGCGCGGTGACGTAAGCACGGTTAGAGCGTCCGGGACAGAGACCAGTTGCGACCTCATTGTGCAGCCGCACGCCTTTAAAAAAAAAGAAAAAAGGACCATCCCAGGAAGCCAAGCCGAAGCGACGGAAAAAGACCTCCGCTGAAGGACACTACCGCCTGGTCCTAGCAAGACCCCGCCACAGAAAGACCTACGCTGCGTAGGTGCCTGGTAAGGCATCCATCTCCCCTGATATGTATGTGGCCCTAGTTAGGCGATTAAATGTATATGTGTAAACCGCTCCGAGTCTCTGGGAAGGAGTGGTATAGAAATGTAATAAATAAATAAATAAATAAATAATTTCTTGCTTTCGAACGGCTAGGTTGGCAGGAGCTGGGGCCAGAGACGGGAGCTCACTCCGTCACGCGGCACCCGGGTCTCGAACTGCCGAGCTACAGACCTTCCGGCCTGCAGTTCAGCGTCTTAACCTCTGAGCCGCCGTGGCCCCCGTAGAAGAGCTAGACTCGAGCAATGTTCCCTCTTAATTTCCCCTCCCTGCCGAGTGGAGCAGTTCACACGTCCTGAGCAGAATAGAAGTGCTGTGACCTTCAGATGGACCGTGGGCCATGCAAGACCCTACGCGGCTCCGCATTGCTGCCGAGCAGGGCTTCTTGTGCTCACGAGCGGCCGCTCACGTGCACACCTTAGAAGGAACACTGTTTAGCAGCACTTTGGAGCAGCGCCAATTAGATTTTCAGGGTGTAAGCTTTTGAGAATGAAAGCTTTTTTTTAAAAAAAAAATGTTGTCGAAGGCTTTCACGGCCGGAGTTCATTAGTCGCTGTAGATTTCCCGGGATGTGTGGCCGTGGTCTTGGCATTGTAGAACCTGACGTTTCGCCAGTAACTGTGACCGGCATCCTCAGAGGTATAACCTTATACAGTTCCTCAGGGCCTGCGAGACGGAGCTCTTCCGCCAGGCTTTCACGTAGGGGCCGCCACTACCACCACCACCACCATCGGCGTGGGTAACAACGGGGCTGGGAGATGACCCTCGGAAGATCTGCCGTAACATTGCGTGGCGCTGGTACCACTGGACTGGCTATGTACCAACTACAGGACAATACTACCTCCAATGGAAGACTGATATCATCTTGTAATCTATTCGGAGACCACCTACCATCTTGTTTCTAGGTAAAGGTAAAGGTTCCCTTGCTCGAAAGCCAGTCGAATCGGACTCTAGGGTTGTGGTGCTCATCTCCGTTTCAAAGCCGAAGAGCCAGCGCTGTCCGAAGACGTTTCCGTGGTCATGTGGCCGGCCTGACTAAACACCAAGGCGCACGGAACGCTGTGACCTTCCCACCGAAGTGGTACCTATTTATCTACTTGCAATTTCTTGCTTTCGAACTGCTAGGTTGGCAGGAGCTGGAACTAGAGACGGGAGCTCACTCCGTCATGCGGCACACCCAGGTCTCGAACTGCTGAACTACCGACCTTCCACAGCCTGCAGTTCAGCGTCTTAACCACTTGAGCCACCGCAGCTCCTTATCTTGGTTCTACTGAGTACTTTATTTTTGTTGATATTAATGGTTTTACTGTTATTTTATCTTGTTTTTATGCGTGGGCATTTGTGCTCTCTTGTAAGCCGCCCTGAGCCTGCTTGCGGGGAGGGCGGGGTATAAATAGAAAAATAAAAATAAATAAATATGTACTCTCTGTGTCAAGGTGAGAAGCAAAATGGTAGGCAGGTAATTTACATCTACTCAGGAAGGTGGGGTAGGGCTGAGTTATTATCTTGTGGGAGTCCCCCAGGCTGTGAATATGCTAATAGAGGAGCTTTCCTGAGGAGGTTCTTTTGTATATGGATTGTTTCTTGAGAAGGTTTCCTGTTTCCTGAGGAGGTTCTTTTGTACGTGGATTGGCTGTTGATTGGCTTCTTTTTTTGGTTAGGAGGTTTCGGACTTCTATCCGAAAGGAGACCAAAATCCTGTTGGTCTCTTAGGTGTCGCTGGACTCAGATGTGGCTTTAAGAGTCGAATGCAGTATTATGTTTCCTACAGTCAGTTTGGTGTCGTGGTTAAGAGCACAGACTCTTATCTGGGAGAACTGAGTTTGATTCCCCACTCCTCCACGTGCAGCTGCCGGGATGACCTTGGGTCAGTCATAAGTTCTCTCAGAGCTGTTCTCTCGAGGGCAGTCCTTGAAAGAGCTCTCTCAGCCCCACCCGCCTCACAGGGTGTCTGTTGTGGGGAGGGGAAGGGAAAGGCGTTTGTCAGCCGCTCTGAGACTCCTTTGGGTAGTGAAGGGTGGGGTATCAAATCCAATCTCTTCTTCAGCATTGGAGTAGCGATTGGTGCTTTTTGTCTTGAGTGAAAAAGTAGAGCTCTTGGTCTTCTGTTCAAAACTAGTGGTATACTGGAGCATATTGGGTACTTAAGTACACGTTAGATGTTCAGGGTGCTTAATCCCAAAGGCATAGGGTAAGGCAATAATTTTTTCCCCTTCCAATTAATGCCAGAAGTACCAATCCTGCTGTCTTAATGTCTGTGAGTGCTCACAGCCCGCCCAGATTAATCTTACAGCACTTCTGAAAAATGCACTTTTGTGTGTGTGTGTGTGTGTGTGTGTGTGTGTTCTGTTCCCTGCTTGTCCTTCCTTTCCCCCCCCTCCCCTCCCGAAACGAAATCAGCAGCTGCCCTCCTTGAAAATAACATGTCTATTGTGTCATGCATGGCTTCAGATTTGGCATAATCTCTGCTTTTAGCAGAAGTCTCTTTCAGCCACTTCGTGGAGGGCAAAGGAATTCTGTAGGCCCGACAGCATCATTCCGGCTAAAAGTCTTTGGCACCTTCTACACAAAACAGGTTGCCACTGTATTAAACAGCCACCAATGCTCCCTCTAAGCTGTTGAGTCTTGTGAGCAAAAATCCTACTTTGTGAGAGTTGCGAGCGAGTGATTTGGCTGCTGCATGAATTAGTTTGCTCTGGAGCCCTCCATCCTCAAAGCAAAGCCCGAACTCTTCCCCAGAGGGTAAACCAGTTGCAAGTTACAGGTCTCTTATGTTCCCAACTGTGTGTTTGCCTTATTTTGTCTGGCAAATGCTTTCATCTGTTTAAATGATGGGAAATAACCTCAAAATATATTTTGAATGGGCTTCATTGACGGGAGGATTACTTAAGGTTTGTCATGAGAGCGTTCCTAACGATTCCACCTTTTAGATGTTCCCGGGGTGACAGGATTCTGGGGAAGCCGACTCAATACCCGTAAAATGTTTCCTTCACTTTGATGCATCAGTATCGAGAGCAAGCATGAAGTCACAATCCTAGGAGGACTCAACGAATTTGTAGTGAAGTTCTATGGACCACAAGGAAGTAAGTACACGAACCTTGGTTCATCAGGTCAAAAAACTCAAGGACCACTGTGTGTTTAGGTCTAATGCAATGAAGGAGCCGTTTTCAGAGTGTTCACCCGTTAAACTACATCAGGGGTGTCAAATATGTGGCCCAGAGACCAAATCAGGGCCCCCCCCCAAGGGCTTCTATCAGGCCCGCAGTGGAACGGGCTGTCTTCTGCTGCTTCTTCCAGTTCTGCTGCGTCATCGTAGGTTTGCAGCTTACAGGTACACACCTGAACAGGATACTCAGGATTGCAGCAGCACAGACATTTTTTTGTTGAGCCCCGGAGGGGATTTTTTATTATTTTTTATCAAACTACAAAACTATTACAGAAAAAAGGGAAGGGGGGGATTACATATATAGGATAAAGCAAAAGAACCCACTACTAACTAAAAACCCAAGAGAGGAGATCCTCACTAGCTTAGTTAGAACAAATCTTCATTTCATTTAGCTTATTATAAACTGAGTCAAACATTTGTATTACTTTCTTTTTCTTTAACTCTTACATTTAACTGTCTAGGAACTGCACCCCCCCAATCATCCCCTTTCAGAGTTCTCAAAGGCACAATTCAGAGTCCTTCAGCCTTCACTTCTCCTTTGCTCGTCTCTTCCGCAGCTTATAAGGACTTTTTGGAGCAGCTGCCCCTTGCTCTGTAAGAGAGTCCTCCACGGAAGAACCCGAGTCCAGCTCGCCACTAGACTTGCTCACAGCACAGACATTTTGATGCAATAATTCAGAGCAAGAGGTGTCATTTATCAGACACTGTTAAGTAAGCAAAATGTCGCCAGAGTGCTCATGTTTTAAGCATGTTTTTATTTTAAGTAAAACAATCCCTTTGTTTGTGTCCTTGATAAAGTTTATATCTCCGCTACCTGGGATTACATTTTATGACGCACGTGGCCCGGCCCAACAAGGTCTCATTTATGTCAGATCTGGCCCTCATAACAAATGAGTTCGACACCCCATCTCTACATTGTAGCTGCAAATCCAGCTAGTTTAAAATCTTGGCTGTGTTTGAAAATCTGTTTCCTTGCCCCAGACCAGGGCTTTTTTTGTAGAAAAAGCCCAGCAGGAACTCATTAGCATAATAGGCCACACCCAATAGCATAAACTCATTAGCATATTAGGCCACACCCTAACAGCACAGCTTATTAGCATATTAGGCCACACCCCACGTTACCAGAAGTGTGGTCATCCAGCCACACCCACCTTTTGCTTCTTATTCTACTTACTTTGTTTATTGTCAAAACCCAGGGCCTTTTTTTGTAGCAGGAACCCCTTTGCATGTTAGGCCACACACCCCTAATGTAGCCCATCCTAATGAGTTTCTGCTGTTGGGTGTGGCCTATTATGCTAATGAGTTCATGCTGGGCGTGGCCAACTCGGGAGCCAGCTGGAACTCCGTTCCTGTGCGTTCCTGCCCAAAAATAGCCCTGCCCCAGACTAACCAGTTTGATATTCTGCCAGTGCAGGTTCAGACTCGATAGTTCGTTCAAGTTCATTAAGCCTTTGGTGCAGCCTCTTTGCGTCCATTCTCCGTTGAAATTAAAGACACATTCAGATATTACGATAAACTTGGGTTCTGATCAAGGCGCAGTTGTGAACACAACCCGATAAACTGGGATTTGTTAGCTGGTGCCTGGGCGGGCACCAAAGTGGGAGTTCAAACTGAGTTGTTAAGCAGAGTTTTTGCTAATTGTGGTTTGTTTGGCATCTGGATGCACAAACCACGGATTGTCTGACTGCAAAGGGGCAGTCAACAATAGAAGGCAGGTACCCACCCCCCAGGGAGGCAGAGGAGGAGAAGCAGAAAACCCACTGCATGATACCTTTTTGAAGAAGCAGTTAATTTCATTAAATAACTGAGATTTCTCACTTAGACCTAGCGAACTACCCAACATTTGCCCAAGTCCAGTTTATTATGGTGTCCAAATGCAGCTGAAGAGAATGCAGTTGGGACGAGCGCACTGTGCCACTTTTCATTTTCTTTAATATTTAGAACGTAGTTACGTGCTGCATCTCCAGGCAGCTGTTCATGAGGATGTAATAAGAGCCCTGCTGGATCAGACCAGTGGTCCATCCAGTCCAGCATCCCTTCTCACAAGGTGGCCAACTAATTCCTCTGGAGGGCCAGCGACAGGGCAGAGAGGCCGAGGCCTTCATAAGAACCTCAGAAAAGCCCTGCTGGATCAGGCTAGTGAGGGTCCATCTAGTTCAGCCTCCCGTCTCACACAGTGGCTGACCAGTTCCTCTGGAGGGCCAACCACAGGGCATGGAGGCCGAGGCCTTCATTAGAACATCAGAAGAGTCCTGCTGGATCAGACCAGTGAAGGTCCATCTAGTCCAGCATCCTTTCTCAGTCAGTGGCCAGCCAGTTCCTCTGGACATCCAACAACAGGGCATAGAGGCTGACTCCTTCCCCTGGTGTTGCCTCCTGGCTCTGGGATTCAAAGGTTTAGTGCCTCTGAACATGGAGGTCCCCTTTGGAGCCAGTTTGGTGTTGTGGTTTGGAGCGCGGACTCTAATCTGGGAGAACCAGGTTTGATTCCCCATGCCTCCATTTGCAGCTGCTGGTGTGACCTTGGGTCAGTTACAAGTTCTCTTGGAGCTGTTCTCTCGAGAGCAGTCCTCGAAAGAATCCTCTCCCAGGCCCTCCTTCCTCTGTTGTGGGGAGGGGAAGGGAAAGGAGATTGTAAGCCGCTCTGAGACTCCTTCAGGTAGTGAAGGGCGGAGTATAAATCCTAAACTCTCTCTTCTCTCTCTTTCTCCTTTAGTCACCATAGCTAGTAGCCGTCGATAGACCTCTCCTCCATGAATTCATCTAATCCCCTTCATCTTACCTCTCCCAATTCTCTCCTTTTGTCGTAGTCCTTATCTTAAATTTCAGACCGCCGAGTTCCTCCCAGGGGCAGAGAGTCTCCTCATATGTTCAAGTACCACGCCTATTGATGTTGCTGTGTAAATCAGGAATCGTAAAGAAGCTGTCCTAGGCCTCTCCTCAGTAGTTTGACTTTTGCGATACGGCCTTCCCTTTTTCAGAAAAATCGTGATGGTTACAAACAATGTTCCCTCTAAGCTATGGAGTCCTGTGAGCAAAAGTTCTACTTTGTGAGCTCCTGGCATTAAAGTTGTGAGCAGGTGATTTGGCTACTGCATAAATTAGTTTGCTCTGGAGCCCTCCTTCCTGAGCTAAGACAAAAACGTGTGAGCCAGAGGCTAAAAGACTGTGAGCTAGCTCACACTCACTCAGCTTAGAGGGAACACTGGTTGCAAATATGTTTTTCAAATGCAAGGGCGGGAGGGGCAGCTGATTGCCAGGTGGCCGAATTCCACAGCCAGCGTCTCCCGAACTTTCTGCTTTTCATGTCGAATGTCGCTGAAACTGGGTCACTAGGCCAATGGTTCTCGACGTGGTGATCTTTTTGCAACTCAAGTCTTAGTGTACTGCTGCCCACAGTCTCTTCTCTACCCGCCCGCAGCTCATCTTCATGTTTAAACTTCTGTTCATCAAAACGAGTAGCTGCAGACATAAAAAGTTTGGTTTTTTACCTACTGGAGAGACCACTGCTTCCTCTAAGCTTGTGGAGTCTTGTGAGCAAAAACTTACTCTGTGAGCTACCGGCATTAAAGTTGTGAGCGAGCGCTTTGGCTACCGCATAACTTAGTTTGCCCTGGAGCCATCCTTCCTGAGCGAAGACAAAAAACGTGTGAGCCGGAGGCTAAAAAACCATGCGCTAGCTCACACTTAACTCAGCTTAGAGGGAACATTGGTCCCCACCAAAATCAGCGGGAATTCTGCAAGAACTTGAAGGGACATACCATCTCTGACCCCTCTGCCATCCTTTTACGTGTTCCGTGTTTGGTGCCCAGCCAGGACGATACTCCTGTTAAATTTCCATCAGTGTTTTGGTTTGCACAACTTAACACAATTTCTCTCTCTCTCTCTCCCTGATTTGCAGCACCGTACGAAGGTGGCGTGTGGAAAGTTAGAGTGGACCTTCCCGACAAATACCCCTTCAAATCACCATCTATAGGTAACTGATGCCTAAACATCTGGCGGCTAACGAACGTTTCAAGAAGTAATCGGTCTCTATGCCCAGTCGAATCTAATGGGGGAGCGTTAGGCTAGAATCAAAGAGTTGGAAGGGGTCAGAGAGGCCATCTAGTCCAGACCCGTGCACTCAATGCCGGATCAGCCTAGAGCAGTGGTGGCGAACCTATGGCACGGGTGCCAGAGGCGGCACTCAGAGCCCTCTCTGTGGGCACACGTGCCATCGCCCCAGCCAGGCCCAGACCATCATTAAAGTGTCGGATTCTCTGCCAAATAATTTTAAGTAAATGAAAGCATTTGGGATTGCTTTCCTTCCTTTGTTTGGATCATCTTAAGTTAATGTATGAGTTGTTATTTCTAAAGTAAAACCTCAGGATTCAGGTTAAATTGCCGTGTTGGCACTTTGCGATAAATAAGTGGGTTTTGGGTCGCAGTTTGAGCACTCGGTCTCTAAAAGGCTCGCCATCACTGGCCTAGAGCATCCCTGACAAGTGTTCGTCCAGCCGCTGCTTAAAGACCGCCAGGGAGGGGGAAGACAGCCAGTGCCACTGCTGAACTTAGGCGGAATCTGCATTTGTCTTTCCCACTGGTGTCCCAGCCTTTTGACTCCCGTCTTCAAAAAAGCTGCCTGCATTTGGTGTCGTTTTCACACCTCAACAGTGCTAGCATACTTTTGCACGTCCACACATGTTTATCATCCTTTCGGGGCGGCTCCACTGTCATTGCACCTCCGCACTGCTTTAAAAGAATCTTCTCCAAACAACATTCAAACAAGCATAGAGAAAGACGGCGTCACGGCAGCACGAAAATGATTTAAAAATGCAAATGCAGATTCGGCCTTGCTCTCACTGTGTCTCGTTCCGCCCGTAATTTAAACCCACGGGTGCGAGTCCTCTGCTGCCAACAGGAACAGCTCCCTGCCCGCCTCTAAGTGACGGCCTTTCAAATAGCTGTTGTAGATTTCCCGGGTTGCCTGGCCGCGGTCTTGGCAGTGCAGGACCTGACGTTTCGCCACTAGCTGTGACCGGCATCCTCAGAGGTAGAACACAGAAAGATGGGAGTGCAAGGTGAGACACCTTGACCCAGAGAGTACTCCCTCTCTCTGTGTTGTACCTCTGAGGATGCCGGTCACAGCTGCTGGCGAAACGTCAGGTCCTGCACTGCCAGACAACCCGGGAAATCTACAACAGCCTTCGACAACATATTGTCCTTTCAAATACTTCAAGAGAGCCATTCTGTCCCCCCACCACCTTCATCGTCTTCTCCAGACTGAACCTACCCACGCCCTTTTCGTGTATTTTTTAGGGCTTGGTCTCCAGGCCCCTGCTGTTCTTCATTCTCTTCTGCACCCGCTGCGTTCTGGTCGTGTCCTTATGGTCCAGGGTTTCCGGACTTCTGATTGGGTGCTTTTAGCACAGGGCTCGTACCTCCCGAGGAGGGGCCATACAACTGGCTTCTTGCAATGAGTGGTGGTGGTGGGGGGGTTATATCCGCAATCTTCCGAAGGAGAAACTTCTGGGTTCACGGTACTTACCTTCTTTCTCTAAACGGATCCTGAAGTTCTTGCCAACTTAAAGGCCAGAATGAAGTTCCAAGCCCGTGGTGCTGAATCCTTCAGTGAGGATGGGGTGGTTTTCTTGTGGAAAATGGTGCAGGGTTTCTGTATTTTTCTCTCTCCCAAGTAGCGGGGGTGGTTCTTTGACAAAATTATTGCTTATTGTCAGCGGGAGGACTTGTGGGTTTGAGGAGGGTGTCGTGGTTAAGTGCGCGGACTCTAATCTGGGAGAACCAGGTTTGATTCCCCACTCCTCCACTCGCAGCTGCTGGATGACCTTGGGCAAGCCGTGGTTCTCTCAGAGCTGTTCTTGAAAGAGC